AGGTAAAAATAGCTTCAAGGATGTGCTGTACAACATGGGGAATAGAGCCAATATTTTATAACAACTACAAATGGAGTATAACCTTTAAAAATTGTGACTCACTATATTGTGTACCTGTAACACAGAATATTGTACATCAACTATACTTCAATTAAAAAAATATGATATTGTAAAATAAATAAAGTTAAAAAAGAAAATAGCCTGTTACTAGGAAAAAAAAAAAAGGAGGCATTGCCTAATTGAAGAAATTTGCGAGGGTCCAGTTTGCTGTTCACAAAGCAGGTAAAATTCCATGTAGGTAAGAGTAAGGCCTTCAAAAGCAGGTCTGTAAGAGCAGCACTCACAAAACTAAGCTTTGATTCCCAAAGGAGGGGTCAAGGTGGCCGCCACCCAACTCCTGGCCCATCTGAGCAGCACCAGGCTCGGGTACTGGAGGAAGGGGCAATGAGGCTGGCTGGCCTGGCCCCGGGCTGCCTGTCACAGCCACTGCAAGTTCCCATCTTGCTTTAACATCCACTGGTATGAGCTACCAGCGGGGGTGATGTGTCCATCCAAACAGAATCACCCGCCTGGGCTGGCCCAGATCGGGCTCTGCGATTTAGCAGGAGCCCTGGGCTCACTGCACTTCCACTTCCACGTGTTTCTGGGACGAGACTAGGAAGTTCCTGCCTTTCGTGGTACTGCCCTCAACCTGAGGACTCGACAAGTCCATCAACTTAGCACAGCACATATTTTATACTTCCTGGCACTCAGGTGGTGGTCAGTATTAACCCTTAGCACCCCCTGATTCACCTCCTCCAGCAGTCTCCAATTAGAAGAGCCCAGCTGCTCTTAATTCCTTTCTGGGATGGGGTGATGTATGCATAAGTAAGTCATCTAAAGAATGCCAGTCATCTTGGGGGAGAGCCTAGGTCAGATCTGCTATTGACCCAGTATCAGCATTTGCACTGAGGTGATATAATCAGAGTTCTTCAAGTTAACCCGAGTGGACCCCACATGTGAACAAGGTTATCCACTGCAGCACGACTTGTAATAGCAAGGAACTGGAAACAACCTCAATTCCCTTCCAAAAAGGACTGGTTAAGTAAGCCAGGCCGTTAATATGCGTGTGTGCTCGTGTATGTGTACCACGTGCTCCTCCGGTTGTATGTATGCATGTGTGTCTGTGTGTACGCACACACACAAACACACCTCTGAAGGGTTACTCAAGACACTGGTAACATTGGTGGCCTCTGAGGAAAGGACGGGGGAACTAGGAGACTTAGGAAGAGACTTCTCACCATGAAGCCCTTTGTATCTTTGCATTTTGAACCGTGTGTATGTACTATTTATGCTCAAAAATGTTTCATAGAACCAGAGAAAAAACAATGGATCCCTGTGGTTCACAGCTGTTGGGGCTGGTTTGGGGGAACCACCAAATCAAATGGGTGGGACACTGGGGCTCTGGAGAGGCTGAGAGGCCGAGGAGGTGTCCGGCTCCGGTCTGTCTGGCAGACGGTGGCTGGATGGACATGACTCTTAAGGCCTGATGCCTTCCGGAGCTGCAAATGCTCCTCAGGGTAAGTGGGTGGGGGCAGGGTAACACATACACATAGATGACTCTAGAAAATCCAAAACCACTATCCTAGGACCCCACCCTCTCCTCTCCTAAAGGGCCCTGTTTCAAATCAGCAACTGAGGCAATGCAGGGCAGGGGTTAAGGGACGAGGATCTCGGTCACCTCCCTGACGTCAAACCCAGTGCGGCCACTCACCAGCTGGTGAGGCCTTCAGTTTGCTCCCCTCTGAGCGTCTGGAGAGAGAGCAAGCAACAAGACTTACCTCGTAACAGGTAAGCTGCTCATAATAAGTGAGCCATACATGTTTTTGTAATGTTTTAGTCCCAATTACACATCAAGAAATTACCCTGTGCTCATAAACTTAGTAACTGGAACTCTTCTAGTTAATTCTGGCAGTTGCTAAAATTATCCATGACGTGGAACTTGAAATTACTAGGGGGAGAGAAAGAGTTGATCAGCAAGGAAAGCGTGTATGGGTGTGAGCGCCTCCTTGTGGCCCTGATGTAAAAGGGCAGCCTCTGGAACCAACTTCGCCATCACTTACTGTCCTGAGATTCAACCTCAAGGAGTCCCTCGAGGGTATGGCCTGGGCCCTCACCGGGAGCGGGGTCTGCAGCTGCTCTCTCTACCACTGTCCCTCATACTGAAGTCCGGCCCCTCACAGCGCAGGCCCAGAGCTTGGGACACTGGCTGACACACAGTAGCCTCCCAACACAATGTTACTGGAAAACTAAGTGGATGGTCACTTTGGGGGAACAAAAACAAGTCTGGAGATGGATGATATGGTGACGGTTATACAACAATACGAATGTACTAAAGGCCACTGAACAGGACACTTAAAAATAGTTCAAATGGTAAATTTTATGTTACATCTATTTCACCACAATGAAAAAAAAATGGATGAAGTCTAACCTCATCTTTACCTGCCATTAGCAACCCCCCCGCAAGCCCCCGACCACTCCTTTGCAATCTCCTTATCAGATCCTGTTCTCTATATGGGAAAAGGGCCCAACTCCCTTCCAAGCCCCCTCCTCTCTCTACGCCCTTTTCCAGCTGGTTATCACCAGGCCCTTGATGCTTGCTGTTCCCTGAGCACTCCCTGAAGCCGGCCTAGGTGGCCCCTGAGCACCAGTGGCCTGCTCAGCTCAGTCAACATGCTGAACACTGAGCACCCTCCTGCCCCCACCCTGTCTCCCAGCCTCCCCAGCCTCCTGTTTCCACAAACAGAACCCTCCTCTAGATGCTCGAGTCCCCCATCCAGGCGTGATCCACACCCCCATCTTCCCCATGCCCCAGTGTCCAGTCCATCCTCATGGAGAACCCTGCTCCCCCTCCTCCGAAGCGCACCTGAGGTCCACCCACTCTCCTCCCCACTCCACCACCTCACCCCACGCTGCCTCCCTGCTCCCGCCCCTGCCCTCCCAACAATTTGTCCTCCTCACAGTGGCCCAAGCGATCTTCATAAAATGCAACTCTCATCATCACCTTCCCACTTCACACCCTCCCAAACTCCTCAATGCTCCTGGGAGGAAGTCCAGATCCCACAGGCCACGCTGGTCTTCTCTCTGGTCTTTGTCCCACCTCAGGGCCTTTGCCCCTGCTGTTTCCTTGGCCTGAACACTCGTCTCTTGAACTTCACATAGCTCAGCCTACAAGTAACCTCCTCTGAAAAGCCTTCTTACCCACAACATCCAGAGGCCCTGGTCACTTTCCCTCATACCTCTGATTCTTTGGGCAGCGTGATCACTTTACTGCCCATCTCCCTGGCTAGAGAGGTCAGCCCCGCGGGCATGGGTTTGTCTGCCTTGCTCACGGATGGATTCCCAGCTCCTGGAAAAGGTCTGGAAAAGCCCTCATGTGTGTGGGGAGCCTGACCCTCAGAGACAGAGCTCACTGCTGTGTGGGCGCCCCCGCCCACACTATGCTTCGTGTGAGACACAATCCTGTGACTCACCCTGAAGGAGGGGAGGGAAACAGTTTGAAAGTCACAAAAATATATTAAAACAGCTGTTTTCTTCTTTTTTGGCGCTGATCTCCCTTCTCAGTGCCCCTGATCCACCACCCGCCACGGCCTTTCAGGGAAAAAGATGCCTGAGCAGGTGCCCCAGCCGCAGCCCGGGGTCTGGGGACGTCCCTCCAGCCTGGGAGTGAGGGCGGCTAACAGTCTCTACAGGCTCGACGCCACCGCCGACGGGGCCGCTGGGAGGCCGGAGGTGCAGGAGGGTCAGGCAGGACGCAGCGGACAGTCGGGCCTTGCCACGGGGACAGAAAACAGAAAAGAAATGAACAGAGTGAAGAGAGGAAGAGACAGAAGTTAAAGCAGCGGTGGGGGGGGCAGGGAGGGAGGGGAGGGAAGGGAGGAGTCAGCGGGGTGGGGAACGAGGGAGCCCCTCCAGGTGACACTCACTCTGGGTGACAGGGAGGCCTGGGGTTTGAGGCAGCAGATGCTGCTGAGGGAGGAAGGGGGATGGAGGAGAGGAAAAGGGCACTTGGCACTTGGAGAGGTAGACAGGTGAGTACCGCCAAGGCCATGGTCAGAGAGGAGGGAACAGAGGACAGGAGAGAAGGGAAAGTCCCAGAGCGGCAAGGCCGGGCCACGATGACCACCTCAGACTCAGAAAAACTGGGTGAATCCCCAGAAAGCTCAGGCCAGCACAATGTCTGAGGGAGACAAGCAGTGTCATCCAGAAGCCGGCAGAGAGGGGTGGTGCACCCTCGCTGAAGACTCTGACGGAGCCGGGAATCTGGACGGGGGCCTGTGCCCCGCCCTTGGGCTAGAAGGTCCTGTGGCCCAGTCTTTTGAACACGCTCACAGAGCCCGCGTGGTCCATCTGGGCACCAAGGCCCTCGCTGGAGCTGCTCCCCCGGGGCCCCACCAGAGTCCTCTTAATGGTGACCTTGACCTCAGCCGAGGACTTACTCTTGGTGCTCGTGACCTGGCTGTCCTGGGCCTCGGGCACAAGGGCAGTCTTGCCCAGTCTCTGGATGACGCTGACTTTGGATAGGGCCTCCGGCTTCCTCTCAAGCCCAGGTCGTGAGGAAAGGGCCAGGCGCCGCAGCGTTGGGGCAGCGACCGTTGTCGCTGAGCTTGTGGCCTTGGCTTTGACAGTTAGTGCGGGCTGGGGACTGGCTTTGGCTGGGGTCTGGCCTAGCTTCTTCAGGACCCCAGCATACTGCAGGACAGAGCTGCTGCTGTCATTGTCACTGTCCCAAGCCAGATCCTCGTCCGTCTCTGGGGTCGCCCCCAGGCGGCTAAAGACTCCTGTGGGCTGTGGAGGTCAGAGATAGGACAAGTGAGTCACTTAGTCACTCAACAAGCATTCATGGAGAACTCCCTCATGGATGCCTGGCCTCACAGAGCTCACAGTTGGGAAAAACACCTGTTGGTGACATGCTAGACAGTGGTGAGAGCCATGAGAGGGCAAGTCCAGGGAGCTGGGGGAGCCAAGAGGAGGCCCCTGCCCTGCCTAAAGTTCGGGGAAGGCTCCCTGGAGAAGGAACACCTGAGGTGAGATCTGAAAGTTGACTGGAAGTGAGTGGGATAAAGAGGGGAGGAGACAGGGAGGAGATAGGGAAGAGTGTTTGGGAGGGTCTACAGGTGAACATGAGAGCAAAGAAATATTTGGTCATTCACTCGACAGACAGACATTTTCTGAGTCCCCACTCAACACCTGGCCCCATGTTGGGCAGTGCTGGGGACCCAGTGGTGCAAGACAGGCCCGGCCCTGCTCTTGGGCACCCACAGTCCAGTGAGGAAGACAGACATGATGTCGGAAATGACATGAGTAATTCTCTAATAACAATAGTGCTGTGTTCTCTGGAGAACAGCAGGGGACAGGGAAGCTTTCTCTGAGGCATCAGCATTTAAGTCAGGCCCTCGAGGCTGAATTAGTAAAGAGTGCCGTCCAAGTCTCAAGTCAGGAATAAGAATTGTATTTACAGCACCCTCACCGTGTGCCAAGCTCTTTCCATGGCTGCATCTTCAAGCCAAGTGACCTGAATGTTATTCTCATGCTCATGGTGAGATTGAGGAAATGAGAAAAGGCCAGAGTGGATGAGCCCTGGTGAGCAAGGAAGGAAATGCAGCTGGGGGCTCTGCCAAAATTAATCAGAGGTGCCATTTGAATATGCTGACCGCGCACGTGATCTCACTCAGTCCTCACGACCACCCTGTGAGGTGGGTCCAATACAGAGCAGGAAACTGAGGGACAAAGGGCTTAAGTGACACGGTCAAGGCCACGCAGGCAGGCAGTAGCAGAGCCAGATTCACACCTGGCAGCGGGCTCAGGCCATGTCTCCCAACCACATGCCGTGCCTGGGGCCTGAGGGACTGCAAGCAGAGACAGGAAGAGAGGGCCTCATCCTGGGCACAGTGAAAAGCCTCTGAAGGGTTTCTGGTGGGCAAGGCCGGGGAGGGGCCTGTCCTGCGGGCGCACATGTTGCTGCTGTGGGAGAAGGACTGGAGGGGTTCACAGGAGCTGTGAAGGGACCAGCGAAGAGGCCCCACCCCATTAGTACAGAGAGAGGGGGCAGAGCAGGAAGAGACACATGGCGGCATCAGAATCACGACTGCCTGGGATGGGGTCAGTGGGGCACCCAAGACAGGGCCCAGGGAAGGGTTTGCTTTGGAGGAAGACGCTGAGGCCAGTTTGGGACGAGGTGGTGGGAGGGGTCCAAGGGTGATGTCCAGGAATCTGCCAGACCCCGGGGGCTGGAAGTTGGGAGACAGGTCAGGGTAGCAGACAGACAGGGAAGTCGCCAGTACAAAGAAGGGCACTGGGCCTGGAAAGTCGGGTAAGACGTGGTGAGATGTATATGGGAAGTGTCAGGAACAACTCTTAGGGGAGACAAGAATGTGAGAGTCCTGAGTGGCTCCCCCATTTCCAACTTACCTTATTCCCCGTTGTGGTGTCTGCCTTGGTCTCGGCGCCGAGGCGGTCAAACACTGATGTCCTGTGGAGACCTGGGAGGGAAGAGAGGCCATCAGCCAGCACCTTCCAGGCGGCCCATGTGTACCCAGGCCCAGCAGAGCACCAGGCAGACAGGGAGGGGACAGCATGGCCAGCTCAGACCCCGGGCAGCTCTGGTCCAAGCAGGCACAGACTGGGCCGAGTTAGGTTCTGTGCCTGTGATGTTGGCTAAGGGCAACCTTAACCCACACACTTTTGGCTGGTGTCAAATGTGAGAAGTCAACTCAAATTGACACTTCTAGTCCTCACACCTTAGTACAAATTCATGAAGTGTGTGCAGGAAGACTTCTTAGTCCCTACTGGTTCCTTTCACTCTTTCTTGGGTCATGGCCTCTAAGAGAACCTGATGGAATCCTCTCCCTAAATTATAGCCTAGATAGCCATCAACAGGAGAATGTTTACTAAATTATGATACAGAAGTACTACGCAAATATTAAATGACCATTAAAAATAACGAAGCAGATTAACATGCACTAATGTGAAAATATCTCAGTTAAAAAGTTGTAGAAAAATACACGTAGGATGATGCTATTGGAGCTTAAAAAGGAAAGAAATGCCCAGGTATATGTGTAAACATACAAATCGGTGCATTTACGTTCCTAATTGCTGGTCTGTAAAGGTTAACGATACATGTGGGATATGGGAGTGAGGGGGGAGTTTATTTTTCCTTCTTAAGCATCTGCTGATGTTTTTCCATGAGAACACGTGCAATGTTCTAAGAGGAACATTGTAAGGAAGACCACCTCTGCATTACCAAACATGAAGCCCAGCTACGGACTGAGTCTACCGGACCCCTCTGGCTCAAAGAGACAGTTCCCACTGTTTTGGGCACCTGCCCTCCGCCAGGCTCAGTCACTCACTTAACAGGCAGGCCAGCACTGAATCCACGCCACTGCCCCTCCGGGAGGAGGCACTGGAGGAGCCCTTCTAAGCTAACTACAGGGTGAGAGGGCAGAGGTGGTGATGCATCCCCCTCCTCTGCAGTCACCTTTGCTGTCCCCTGGGTCCAAGGTCCCCCGGATCCCATCAGAGCCTGCATTTCGGCCAGTGCCTGTAGGACGTGACCAACCCTGCAAGATGCAGCACAAGGGAAGCACAGTCTGCCCCCAGGCAAGCCTCTGCCAGGCCCGTACCTTTCGCTGCCTGCTGCTGCTCCAGGATCTTGCGGGTCCGGGGGGTGGTGCCTTTGGGCATGTTGATAATGTACTTCCCCTCCATCTCGGCAGTGACCCGGCGCCGCTTGGTAGGAATGGTCAGGCTCTCCTCCTCTCTGCGGGCCAGGGCTGCTGGGGGAGGAGGGGATGGTGAGCATCTTCTGGGATGGAACGTTCTCCTGGGGTAGGGGCTGGATGCCCTGCAGAGGGCACACATGTGCCTTTATCTCCATGTGTTTGTATGACTGGAATCCCTTATCTTCCCAACCACCCCGTGGCCGCTGACTGACCACTGAGAAACTCAGGGGTGTGGGCACAGCGGAGTCGCAGAAGGCTGTGGGGCCTCCCAGGCTCTCTGTGGCTCTGTCCCTGCTCGCCTCCCAGGCCAGCCAGAATCCCCTCAGATGGGGAAACTGCTGGGCAGTGGAAAGGCCATTTAGAGAATGGTTTCACAGGTGTAATCACTTAAAAAAAATTAATCGAGCTATATACTTACAATTTGTGCATAAGTAAATTACACCTCAATTAAAAATAAATCTCAAATGTGCTGAGGGGTAAGACAGCCAGTCCCTCCCAGGCTCCCCATCTTTTCCATACTTTAGAAATGAATCTTAACTTTCTTGCTCATGGCACACAAATGGAGAGGTCAGAAAGAGAATGAGGCACTTTCAGACACATATGGCAGAAAAGGAGCACGTGTGATGGAGGTGGACAGGGCTAGGCGGGGCTGGGCGTCAGGATAGCCCAGCCCCCTCCCCAGGCCTCAGTTTCCATTTGTGCCAAGATCATTGCTGTGGGGACGCATCCAACAAAAACAGGAGAGTGTGACGGACAGGAGGAGGGCTTGGAAGCCCAAAGGCCAGAGTCCCATTCCCAGCTTACAATCTGAGACCTGGAGGAGGAATAGCGGCCAAGCTTGGAAAAGTCTGCAGAGAAAGAAGGCTCCGGGAGAAGGGACCATCCAGGCAAAGGCCTCACGATGGGAAGGAGCCTGGAGGGGACCTGAGGCAGCGAGCAAGCCTGAATCCCCACATGCAAGGCCCAGTAGGGCCATGTGGGAAGATGATTTTGTTAATGGAACAGTAGGAAGCCCTGGAGAGTTCCAGACAAAGGTGTGAAAGGATCAGATTAGAGGCTGTAAAAGATCCCTCTGGCTGCTAAGAGGAAAGGTAGCTTCTTTACCTTTGACCCCAGGCATCAAGCACAGGGCCGGGCACCAGTGCGGGGCTCAGTGAACATCTGTTAAAAAAGACTGAGCTACCCATAGTCAACAATACTGTACTGTACACTTAACATTTTATAAAGAGGGTAGATCTCATGTTAAGTGTTCTTACCACAAAAAAATAAAATTTAAAAATACGAAAAGACTGACCCAGCCACTGAGTGAGAACCGCAGTGCACCCTCGCTGCTTGAAGACACCACCTCACGTGCTTCTGACTGTCCTCTGGGGAGGGCAGCACCAGCCCCATTCTACAGATGTGGAGAGGGAGGCCCACAGAGGTGCAGTGACCTGACCAAAGCTGAACGCTGTGGATACCTTGTGGCCTTCAAAGCACCTTGCGAGGTTGGGAATATGTCCCCCGGATACCGTGTGCCAACCCACATTCCTCCAGCTCCCCACCAACCTGCCCAAGTCCTCTCACCGGCGGCCTTGGCACTCTTTGCTGCCATCTTGTTGGACACAGTGACGGAGATCTTGGAGGCGCTGGTGTCCGGCCGCCGGGGGGGAGTGCCGGGTGGGGAGTCGCGGTTCAGACTGTTGGTGATCATTCGGGAGGCGGCTGTAGGGAGGAAAGAGGAGTCCAGCAGGGCAGGAATAGCCCACCACTCCCTGCCCTGGGGGCCTCTCCAGAGGCCCAGACCAGGTTGGTTCCCATCACACTTCACCCATCAGTTACCCATCCCTGCACAGAGTTCTTCCCTCCCCTCCCCCTCGGCCGCTGGTCTCCAGGATCCTCTTGGCCCAGCAAGTACACATCTCCTCAGGGTACTTGCTGTTCATCTGTCTGGCGTGTGGTCCCCCAGTACCAACGGGCTTGCTCTGTCTCTTCACTCAGGTCTCCTCTCCAACGGCATCTCCTCAGAGAAAACTTCCCTGACCCCCACCTTGATCTTAACCGCTTCTACCCTCCGCTGGTGCTTTCTTTTTCTTCAGGCCGTTATTACTGCTTGACATTAAATTACATTTGTTTACTGGCAGCCTCTCCCACAAGAATGCAAGCCCCATGAGGAGACACTGTCTGTTTATTGCTGTGTTCCCAGTACCCGCCACGGCCTCTGGCACTTTGTAGCTGTGTCCCCTTCACCACTAGCGTGTACCAATGAAGGAAAGGAGGCCTGAACAGATGGCACTCACCACTAGCCGTGCCTCGGCGAATCTCGCCTGGGAGGGGGCTGGGGCTGCATGGCACCGACTCAGTGGCAGCTTTGCACATGTCCTGCCAAAAAAAAAAGGGGGGGTGCCCAGGTTACCATGGGGGAAGGGGCATGAGCTGGGGGAAGAGAGGACCCAGAAATCTGAGCAAAACTTGGGAGGCAAGGGGAAAATCAGAGCCTGAGCTGTTTGAGAAGAGATTTCAAAACCTTTCACTCCTCACCATAAAAAGCATCAGACAAACCCAAACGGAAAGACATGCTACGGAACAGCTGACCGGTACTCTCCAAAACTGTAAAAGTCACCTCAAACCTGGGAAAACTAAGAAACCACCCCAAATCAAAAGAGACTAAGGAGACATGAGAAGTAAATGCAACGTGATGTCCTGGAACGGAAAAAGGACATTAGTAGAAAAACTGATGCAATCCAAATAGTCTATAGTTTAGTTCATAATATAGTGTTTATAGTGTTTATAGTTTTGAAAAATGTACCCTGGCTATGTAAGGCGTCAACATTAGGGGAAGCTGGGTGAAGGAAATACAGAAACTTTCTGTACTACTGTTTGGACTTTTCGAGAAATCCAAAATGGTTCTCCAATTTAAAACCTTAAAGAGAAGAAAGAATTTTACTCAGGAACCTCAAAGGTAACTCAGAAAATGTCCCTGGCTTGAGAAAGCCCTCACTGCGGGGTCTTGTTCTGGATGATGGATGATGAAGGCCTGTCCCTGGGATGGAGGGAGCTACAAAAATTGATGAGAACAACCCCAGCAGCCACCATCTGGTAAAGCAGAATGCTTGAGAGTGCACCTCTGGGGCAAGTTTCCTCCTCAGTCAAGTGGAAGGAGGAGTAAATGAGCTAATATGGTAAAGGATGGAGACAGGCCCTGGCAGGCCGTGGCAAAGGCTTGTAAGTGCTAGCAGTCATAACTAAAGAAGCTCTTCACTCCCAGCCTGGCACTTGGTGCCACATACACTACAGGCAGATGGCCACAGCTACCCTACATGGCAGGGGTGTGTGAAAAGCCTGTTTCAGAGACTCGGGGAAGTGGAATCACTAGTCTAAGGTCACTGTAAGTGGAGGGACCACGAATGGAACAACCATGTTGTTGATCAAGTTACCAACTGGGTCCCGCACAGGAAGCTCCTGTTCTGGGGACAGAGAAGAGTCCTGGTCAGTGTAAATATTATGAAAAAGATGAGAACTAGTAATAATAATAATGCTTACAGACAGCCTTTCCTGAGGCCCTGATGTTTGCACTGTCCTAGATCTTTGTTTTAACTTAATACTTACCACCACCCTGCAAAATAGGTTTGTCTATGTGCATTTTACAGGTGGAGCAAGTAAGGCTCAGAGAGGTTAGGCAATGTACCCAGTGTCACACAGCAATAGTGAAACCAGCCTTGGAACTCAGGTCTTCCTGCCTTTGCTTCCAAGCCTCCCTTTGGCTCTGCCACTGCCGCTCCATCCCACCCCAGACCCAGGAACAGGGGTGTCGAGCAGAGCACCCACCTGGCGGTGCACCACCTTGGCATGCTTGAGGATGGCGATGATGTCACCCACCACAGTCACCCCGAGCTCATTCATGATTTCTTTGTTGAGATCTAGCAGCATGCTCTTCTGGATCCTGCAGGGGAGGGTCTGTGGTGAGGCCACAAGTGGGCCAGGTGAGTGAGCCAGCCAGCTCCCCGTCTCCCCTCCTTTCCCCAGGTTCAGCCCCGTCCCCTCAGTGGCATTACCTGTTATCCACAAACATCACGGCGTAATTGACAGCAGGTCCTGGAGGAATGCCGGCTTCCTTAAAGAACTGGATCCACTCAGAAGTGGCTGGCGGGGGGCGGGGTGGACAGGGCTCATTACTCACATTATTCTCATTAGAGAACAGCAGCAGCAAAACCACAAGAGCAGCAGCTCCCACAGATTAAATGCTTGTCCAATGCCAGGCCCTGGGCTGAGTGCTTCCCATGCACAGTGGAACTAAGCCAGCCTGACGATCCAGTGGGTTAAGCAGTGTGGACGCCCCCCACTTAGCCAGTGAGGAAACTGAGGTGAGGAAAGGTTGAACAACTCGACCCAGGCCACACTGCTAACAAGAAGCAGACTCCCCCAGCCCTGGTGCCTCCGGACTGCCCTTCTCCTGACAGCTCTGTCCTGCCCTCGGGCGTGACCCGCAGTGATCATCCCCCACGTGGGAACAGTGACTGGTTTGGGGGAGCCAGGACTCTGGGTTCTCCGCCCCAGTCCCCATCAGCAGGCACAGGCCCCACAGGGTAAGGATCCACAGGTGGAGGGAAAGGAGGGTCGCAGAGCTGGCCCTTGGCGTCAGCAAGCCCCCTCCCCAACCCCACTGGAGCAGGCTGGCCTCAGAGTTGGGGGCATGGAGGTTACGAGTACAGCCTTTCGAGCTTGGGTTCAAATCCTGGCTCTGCCAACTCCCGACTGAGGGACTTTGGGCAAGGTATCACTCAGAGCTTCGATTTCCTCAGCTGTAAATTTGGGATAATACGTTCAACATGTAGGAACTGAGCACTTGGCACATGCCAGGTCCTGTCTGGGGCACTAGGGATACCACAGGGCACAAGACAGAGTCCCCTCCCTCATGGAGCTGGCATCCTAGTGATAACCGCAGTGGCGTCCTCGGTCATTGCGTGGACTAAAGAGAGAGTCCACATAAAGGGCTTAAAAGGCACCTGGCCCAGAGGTTGTCCTCAACCACTGCAGCTACTATTATCATTGTTATTGTGTTATTATTCTTGGCCTCTCAGGTGTGACCTTCAAACTGACCCTAACCTATCAGGCCAAGTGTTAGATAAGATTATTGGTTCCAAGTAAAATTTTTTTTCACATTTTAATACCTCTGAAACTAGGATTACCGCACAATTGACGGTGTGCTGCATTAACTGGCAACATTTTTTCCTTCTCATGCTACATAACAGTACATTCAACAGTCCATGCTACTTTAGATAATTAGAAATTTGGTATTCCTATGCCCATTTTGCTGATAAGACAACTAAGGCTCAGAGCAGGGAGAGACACGTTCTGGGTGAGGCGCTGCATGGGTGGCGGTGCAGGGCTCAGGCACGTCCTCTTCCGAGGAGGACCCTGCCCCGCCGGCCACCGGTCTGACTCCCCGGGCCTGAGACAAGTGAGGAGCTCATGCCCTCAGGACTTCCTCTACCAGACCAGAGGAAAGGGGGGCCTTTTCTACTTTGCCCAGGTACTATCCACCTGTCAAGACGAGGAGCCCTGGGTTCCATTAGCCAAAAGCAGGACCCTCTGTCTAAGTATCAAAACCTATCACATAATTGTTCCATTTATGTGACGTGCCCAGAAAAGGTAAACCTGTAGCAATCTGTAGGGACAGAAAGTAGATTAGCAGTTGCCAGGAACTGGGTGGGAGGGCAGTGAGGAGAGAGTGGGTATGCAGGTTTTGCGGGGAGTGATGAAAATGTTTCGAAACTGATTGTGGTGTGATGGTTGCATAACTCTGTGAACACAGAGTATAAAAACCATTGAATTGTACACTTTAGTGAATTGTACCTGAATTAAACTCTTATTAAGGGGAAAAAAAGCACCACATAGGTTGGGGGTAGCTAGCTGCCTGCAGCAAAGTCATGGAACTGCAGAAGTCCCCATGTCCTGCCCTCACCATCATTTCGTGTCCTACTAAGGAGGAAAATCTGCTGCCCATTAAATGATCATAAGCACCAGCTGTAAGATGCAACCCCCACCCTTTCAGACATATTAATATGGGCCACAGTGTGTGTCTTGGCCTCAGTGAGGTGTGTATTGCTGTAGACACCAGGAGAAACACACCAGAATATTCACAGCAGCTTGTCTGCAACAGGCACAACCCAGAAACAATGCAACAGCCCCTGACAATAGCATTGATAAATAAATCTGTATCAGTACCACAGAGCAGTGCAAAGGAGGGAACCACAGCTACACACAGCACTACAGACGACTCTCAGACATCGCTCGGAGTAATGGAAGCCAGAGACACAAAAGAACACACGGCATGATTTCATTCATGTAAGTTCAAAACCAAGTCTATAGAATAGGAACGTTTTCATTAGTGGTACAACAATAAAGAAAGGTAAGGAGAGATTATCACTAAGATAAAATAGTGGTTTATTCCATCTGGAGAAGGGAGGGGGTCGGGATTGGGGTGGAGCCCTCAGTGGAGGCAGGCAATATTCTGTTTCTTGACCTGGATGGTTAGAGGAGGACTGCACTTTTAAAACCTTTTTATTGAACTATAATGTACACACACAAAAGTACACACAAGTCGATAGATTTTCATAAACCAACACACCCATGTAACCAGTACCCAGATCAAGAAACAAAATATTTCCAACATCCCAGAAGCAGCCCCCTCCCCCCACACTACCTCACATTCCCTAAGTCGTCACTTCTCCCTGCCTCGCAAGGGCCAGCAACACCTTCTAGTAGTATAGATTGGTTTTGCCTGTTTCTGTTCTTTATATAAACGGAATTGTAAAGGAAGTACTCAGATGTTTGCGTTTCAATTGCTCTTATGACCACACAAATATGTTTTCTGTGCTTTTCTATATGTACAAATCTCCAAACATTTAAAAGCTACCAGCTAACCTCTGTGGTTTGGCAATCCCAAAATACAGAGTTTAAAGACAATGTGATGGTTAAGGCTCATGAGATTAATAACAGCTAACACTTGCTGAGAACTATGCCTAAGATTTTACATACCATAACCTCCTTTCTCCTTACAACATTCCAGGATGTAGGGAGTGTTAGTATCTCCATTTCACAGGTAAGAAAACTGAGGCTCTGAGAGGCCATGTGGGAGATCTACTGGACTTTAGAACTCAAGTTCTTTATAGCCAAAATATGCTGTCAGGAGACCAAGATACCGAGAGGAGACGGGTAGGCCCTGAGCAGGCCCTGGCCCTGCCTCCACGTTCCTCAGAGCACAGCTGTTCCTGCCAGTGACCCAGCCTTCCCTCCCCTCCCCTGTCCCCCCAACCAAGGTCATGCCTCAAAAAGGGCAGCGGGGAGAGGGGAATCGGAGAGAAGACTCACCCATTGTCACTGAGACCATTGTCTCCCTGGCCGTGACGCTGTTCCCTGGAGCCTGGAAGAGAGAACAAGGGGAGAGTGCCTATGAGTTGCCGCCGGCGAAGTGTCTGTCCCTCTCTCGCTGCCTGTCTGTCTGCCTGCCAGAGGAGAGTTCCTGGGCTGGGGGCTCACCGCCCAGGAATAGCCTGGAACAGCTGCCAAGAAGTCAGCCTGGGGCAGAGCTGCCACCACAACTATCACTTCTGCCTGGGACAAGGCCCAGGGACAGCGAATGTCCACAGCGCCAGTCCCACACACCTCCAACGTCTCTGGCTGGGATAAGGGAGGGACAGAAAAAGGACATCCCCTGCCCGAGACTTTAACCATAAAAAGCCATCCATTCATCTGTTCAAAAACCACTTCCTGAGAACCTACTGTGAGTGAGGCACTGCTCCAGGAGCCAGGAATTTTGAGGTGAACAAAAACCCAGAGCTTGGCACCTAGTGGGGACCCAGGAAAGGGGGAGACAGACAGTCAACAAGCAAAACACTGGACAGTATCAATATCATGTGTCAGAAAGCCCTGAGCATCAGGGAGGAAACGTGGAGAGCCTGGGAGGGAGGGCTGGCCATTTCCAATGGACGGTCAGGGAAGAGCTCTCTAAAGTGACGTTTAGGGACCCAAAGGCGGTGGAGGGGTGAGCAGTGCAATTTTATAGAGAAAGAGTGTTCCGGGAGAAGGTACAGCAAGTCCAGTGCCCTGAGTCAGGAGAGCATCTGGCACATCTGCAGGGCGGCAGGCAGCCTGTGGGGTGGCGGTGGAGAGAGTGGGGAGGCGGATGAGAGCAGCTGAGGGCAGAGAGGTGGGGCACCAGTCAGGAGGGGCCCCAGAGAAGAAATGGAAAACCAGTTTTCACCGAGATGAGATCAGCGGGTACCAGAAAGCTGATAAAGACATATTAGCATCAACGGTGACGTTCTCCTAGGCGTGAACAGCAGTGTTGAACGAGAACTCAAAGAAATCATTTCCTCACCTGATGATTCGATGCTATCTGACTCCAGGACTACCTGGCCCACACTTCCCACCCTAGCCCTCCTCCTCCTCTCCTCCTCTGGTCCTCATCCTTCACTCAGCTCCCTTCTGTCTGCTCCAGCCCCCAATTCTGATCCTTCTCGTCCAGCCTGCCTCCACCTCCTCTCCAGGGCAAAGAAGGCCCCTGGCCAGCCCCTATCTACCTACCATCACCCACAATCTGCCCCTTCCCACCCCACACCCCCATTTGATGGTATAACAGAGATGGTAAAAGAGTAAGGACTCTGGAACCAGACTTGCAGGGTTCAAATCTGGCTCCACCACCTACTAGCTGTGTGATCTTGGCAAGTTACTTCACCAGTCAGGCCTCAGTGTCCCCATCTGTAAACTGGGATGATACACACAACTTACCTTAGAGGACTGCTGTGAGGGCTGCATGAGCTTCTATGGACAAAGCACTGGAGAGAGCCTGGTGTGTACTAAGTACTCTACAAGTGCTGGCTCTTCTTCCCTGCCAGGCCTCCCTCCGCAGCCTTCCCACTAGCATCCAAGGGCTTCACCTGCCTCCCACATTTCACACAGAAAGCCACCTGTGCCTGGAATGCTTCCTCCTCCTGTCCCCCTGGCAAGCTCTCCTTCATTCTGCTTGACTGCCACCTGCTTTGTGAAGCTTTCCCAAAGTCCCCAGATGTGAGACTCTCTCCGCCACTCTCAACGAGGGTGATGAACATGACCACAGACATCACCCCACCCTGTACATGGCTCCAGAGATCCCCTTTCCCTTCTGGATTTTACCAGTGGACAAAGACAACACAACCAGCACCTCTCAAAGAGCAAGGGAGGGAGGGGCTTCGGTAAATCAGACAGAATAACGACTCCTCACATACCAAGCACTCGCTGTGTGCCGGGACCAGCATCAGGCATCATGTTGGTGCCTCACAACCTCCCCGTGTGTGAGGACTATAATTAGCTCCATTTTAATCAATGGAAAAAACCGACTCATTGTGGTGCAGTCATTTGCCAAATGCCACATCTAGCAAGCAGCTTTACTAGGATTCAAAAACAAGTTCTCCCTGATTCCAATGCCCATGCAGTAGCTCCTGCCGCATGTTTATGTGCCAGGCACTGAGTACGTACACATCACAGTGACTCCTCACAACCACCCGCCGTAAAAAGTAAAAATGCTATCCACGTTACAGAGGAGAGTAGCAGGCCCAAGGTCACACAGCAAGTAACTGCAGAGCCAGGACTTGAACCTAAGTCAGTCCAATGGCTGCAATTAACACTGGTCAAGAGATTGCTATGAGCCAGGCACTATGGTCTGTCTTCACAAAGTCTCAGTTAATACTTATGGGGTGGGTGGGTATAGCTCAGTGGTAGAGCACATGCTTAGCATGCACGAGGTCCTAGGTTCAATCCTCAGTAAACATTAAAAAAATAAATAAATAAAACTTATTTAAACAATACTTACTAGAAGCCTTTAAGTCCTGGAATCTTCCCACTACAGCTGCAGAATTCCCTGCTGGATTCAATTTCCTCTCTCCATCATTAAAAGCCCATCTCCAGTGCTGAATTTCTGAATAGTGGAAATTGTATAACATTAATAATAGAAAAATGATAGCTCCCAAAATCCAAGTAATTACCATGGACCCTTAGAAGGCTTGACCCTAAATGGTGATTTTACCACTTCCTAACCCTGACTCTGCGGCAAGTGGCTTAACCTTTCTGGATCTCATTCTCCTTAACTATAAAATAAGAATGATAGGAGTTACTGTACATCAACTATACTCCAATAAAAAAAATGCTAGGTGTATCTATTCTTAAAGTGCTTAGTGGGATTAAATGAGTTCATAAATGCCAAGCCCTCAGAACTATGCTCAACCCATTATGTATATGCGCATTAAATAAAATAAATGTATCTTCAGTGAGTTAGGGAAAGGGTAGACTTGCAACTGAGTTGATGTCAGTCATGGGCAAAATGTGAACTGAGAACAGAGGGTAACTTGACAGGATCCATGGTATCGGACAACATGGCATCACATAATACAAGTTATTCCCTTTTCAATTCTTTCAGTTTCTGTCTACAGTATAATAGACCGTTCTGCTTCCGTTCTTGGAGTTCAGTTTAAGTTTCCCTTCTTCTCATAGCCAGCAATGTAGTTTTCCATTAGGGTAGCAATACAAATTTCCTTTCTCAAATGGATTAACTGAAGGAAAATGCATCAGTGGTTGAAAGAAAAAGGAGAACCTAATACTATGGGATTTGGTAAAACTGGTCAAATAGTGGCAGGATGTCGATTTGCCTAACTCCAGATTCCAAGTTTTTCCTGTTCCTGTCCCTGAGCTTCCTCCTCCTCTCTACCTCTCTGTCTACACCAATGACTCTCAGAATCATTATTATAGTCCCAATCTATTAAGCTCCTACTCAATACTGTGCTAGGCCCTGTGTTAAAGACTTTACACGTACACTTCATCAGCATCCTCACAATGACTCTGCTATTGGGACTATTAGCCCTCATTGTATAGGAAAACGAGGTTCTAATAGGTGAAGGCATAGGTCCACTGCCACAAAGTGGAGCTAGGACTTGAACTGAAATCTCTTGGCCCCCAATTTCATGCTCCCACACCCAGATCTTCCACATCAAGCGCAAACATCATCATCAATACTAACAATAACAGTATAGTAACTAAGTGAGCAGTGTGCCAGGTGCTGTGCTAGGGGCTCCAACATGCACGAGCTGACTTCTCACTCCAGCCCATAAAGATGATGCTATAGTCAGAAGATGATGCTATAGTCAGATTCTGACCCCCATTCTACAGAGGAGGAAACTGAGGTTCAAAGAAAGAAGTCACTCGTCCAGAGCCGCACAGAAGCGCCAGGACTGACTTTGGAACCCCGGATGCCATTCATCCCCACCTCATCCAGCCCAGTCCCACCAACGTCCCGGACCCGCGCCTCACCTGGCCCTCCGGGCCCGCGCCCACTCGCGCCGCCCGCCCAGTCTCCCGGCGGCGCCAACTGTCAGACCCTCCTCCCTCGGCCCGGCAGCCCGCCCCGGAAGCACCGCCCTCGCCGCCGGAAGCCGGGCTGACATGTCGCCCCGCGGCCGCTCTAGCCCGCAGGAGAGCCACCAGCGAGAGCGCAGCCGCAACCCTCCTGTGACCGCCTGCTGTCTCCCAGGCGCTTCCCTCCGCCCCGCGCTGGCGAGGAGCGCGGCCAATAAAGAAGGCAGTTGCCTGGCCCCCGCCAGCCGCAGTCCGTCCTGAGTGCGCCTGCGCGCGGTGGGGGCGGTCGGGCGGGGCTCCAGCCCAGAAGGTGCGCGCAGGGCTGGGTCCCGGAGTGGGAGCCGTGGAGCGCAGGTAATGTGCGGTCTGGGGGTGCGGCGCCTCGGCTGCCCTCCTCGTGTTGTCCTTCGTCTGTAATGTATCTCTCCTCTTACATCGTCTTCTGGCCTTTTATGTCGCCATTCCTCCCCTTTTGTTGCATCCTGCTTAAATGGTTACCACTCCCCTTATGTCGCCATCTCCCTCCTTAAGTCGCTATCAACCTCTTAACAAGATTTCGTTCCCTTTAAGCCCTCATTGCCACCAAATGTCGCAACCGCCGCACTTTAAGTCGTCGCCTTCTCATGTCGCCTGCACCCCTCTTTCATTGCTGTTACTCCTTTATGAAGTCTTCACTTCTCATGAATTGTCATCATACCCTCGTGTCACCTTCGCACTCCTCCTGTCACCATTTCCTTAAATCGAACTCATGCTTCCCGTATGTCATCCTCACCCCATGTCTCCTTCCCTCCCTGTCACCTTTGCTTCTCTGGTGGTTACTGTCGGTGCCTAATGCGTCTAGTTTTCCTCATAAGGAGCCACCCTGCTTTACGTTTGTTTTTCTTCCCTTCATGTCTTCATCATTTCCCCGTGTCACCTCACATACTGGCCACCATACTGGGTACTACAGCCGTTAACCCAGGGTGTGCCTTGACCACCTAATCAAACCTTTGCAATCTCAGCTTCCTCATTTGTAAAGTGCCCAAGAACACCTATGTCAGGGATGAGTGTGAGGATTCAGTGAGCTTATTCTTGTGATATGCCCGGCTTGATGTGGCGATTTGGGCTAATATTATCAACCATCTCACCCTCATCACCTCCTCATTGTCACTCTCCCCCTTCCCCCCAGCTGCCCTCATCATTTCTGTGGTGTCATCACACTCCCCGTATCCTGACATGCTCTGCCATGGCAGCCAACCCACGCTGCCCCACATCACGATCTCCATGTTGTCCTCACCTCTGCCACGTCACCACACCTGAGGGGGTGGCCCATCAGCCATCACGAACCTTGCTCACGTGAATACTTAATGCCTATCTCTTTATCTTGTTGGATTCAGTGAATCCCCACCCCTCAAACTGAGAGCATTTAGCCATGGCAGGAGTCAAGGAAGGCATGCTGAGGGGAAGACTATAGGTAGCTTAGGCCCAACCTTCCCTTGAGTTGTAGAATTAGGGGTACAGAGAGATGAGGCAGGTTTCACCACACCTTAGTCAAACCTCAGCAACCCTGAATCCCCATGTGGAAAGGTAAGTATCTTAGTCACTCACCTTGCCTTAGCATGGCAGTGGAGGATAGTCATTAGCCACGTGTGCTTGGGGCCTGGAACAGTCTGGTTCCAATCTTGGTTCTAGCATTTAGTACTTAAACAGTTGCATGACCTTGGGCAGAGGTGGTTTAAGGTTCCTGTGCCTCAGTTGCTACATGTGCAACCTGAGAATGAAAATGCAAGTTATTTATTCAGCAAATATTTATTAAGCATGATCTACATACATGTTCAACCCTGTGCTGGGCATTGGAGACACATCAGTGAACAAAACAGAGGCCCTTAGGGGGACAATATAGCTCAGTGGTAGAGCAGATGCTTAGCATGCATGAGGTCCTGGGTTCAATCCCTAGTACCTACTTTAAAAAATAAATAACCTAATTACCTCCCCCCAAAACGAACAAAATTGTTTTAAAAAATTAAATATATATTTAAAAAAAAAGATCCCTTGCCTCATGGAGTTTACATTCTAGCCTGGGTAGGAGACAATAAGCAAACAGGTAAGTAGATCATATGATGTGTTAGAAGGGACGTGGGGAATGCAGAGGTTGTAGTTTTAAGTAGGGTGGTCAGGGAAGGTTTTCTGAGATGGTGACATTTGAACAAAGACTTGAAGGAGGGGAGAGTGACATGGCTATCTGGGGGAACAGCATTCTAGCAGAGAGAACGCAGATGAAAAGGCCCTGAAGTAGGAGAATGCATGGAATATTTAAGGAATAGCAAGGAGGCCGGTGAGGGTGGAGAGGGGTGGGCGATGAGGTTAGAGGAGTGATGGGGCAGATCCTCTGGGGTCTCATGGGCTGTAGAGAAGACTTTGGCTTTATTCTGAGTAAGGTGGGAGGATTTGGAGGAGAAAAGGGACATGATCTGATGTGACGTGATATGACCTGAAGCAGCAGCAGCAGCAGCTGGAGAACTTCTACCAAGAATGGATTGGCAAGAGCAGCCTGGTTGGAAGGAGAGCCAGAGTCCTCTTCTTAAAGCTGCCCTCATATATCCTTTATATTTGGAGAAAGCCTTAAATGTCCCTCTCAAAGATTCGGAAGGGGAGGGGATGTTCATAGAGGTTTTGAGAGACCAGAGCCACCACTGGGTTCAGCCACTATAGGGGAGGGAGGGAGGGTGCCACAAATCTACAGATGTTCAACAACAGAAGAGGCATCTTGTCTACACCCGGGACCCTAAGGCAGCTTGGGCTCAAATCCTGGCTCCACCATTTCCTGGCTATGTCCCTTTGTGCCAGTGACTTAACCTCTTTGGGTCTTTAGTTCCTTTATCTGTTCAGTGGGGCTAAAAAAAATACTGTTGTGAGAATTGAAAATATCAAGTGTTTTGAGCAGCACCTCCTTCAATAAACATAAAGAGCCCTACCCTTTCTACCACATCCTGTCTTTTCACAGGCTCAGGCCTCCCTCAGGGTGACAAGGAGAAGACATTCTGCCTTACTTTGTGTTCATAAAATGGTTCCACAGTGTAGCATCCTGGAACAGAACTGAGCTCTGGGTTCAAATTCCCAGCCAACAAATGACCTGAGCAGTGATTGTCCCTGAAAAACAGGGATAATGATGCTTGTTTGCCCCAGATGTGTTGTTATTTTTGAACTAACATCAACCATTTTCAATTGTGATGCAACTCTTCCCTTCCCCTGTTTTAGTTTTCTCCAAGGCATATACTGTATGTTTCACTCATTTATCTGTTGTCTCACTTCCTCAAAGGAATTTCTTCCTTCTGGGGGATTTTTTTTGTTTTTTTCTGTTTTGTGCTGTACCTCCATTTGCCAGACAGGTCTTGTCAGCAATAGTCACTGAATAAATACTAGTTGAAATGAATACATGAATGAATGGGCCACTGAGCATCTGCCAAGTACTGTCCCTGCACTGCGTGTTACTGGGGACTCAGCAGTGACTGAGCCAGCCCTGCCCTCATGGGTTTCACAGTTCAGTGGGAGAAACGGACCCATTACCAGGCAGTGACAGCCCAGTGTGGTCAGAGCCAGGCTGGGGGCAGCATAGGTGGAGGGATCTGGGTTGGGATGCAGAAGCTCAGGAGACTGCCAGAGGCCAAAGAGAGTGCCTGGGTCAGCCAGGGGGTCAGGGAGGGCTTCCTAAAGGAGGTGGTACACAAGAGGATAGGAATGAGCAACATGAAGAGGAGAAAAAGCTATGCTAGGCAGGAGGGGCAGCTGTGAGCGGGTTTGGTGGTAAAAGTGTGGTTTCAGTTCAAGGAACTGAAAGATAATTAAGTATGGCCAGGCCATCAAGGATGGTAAGAGAATAAGCCCAACAGGTTATTAAGGGAAGATCATTTGGGGCCCTGGGAGCCACAGTGAGGAGCTGAGACTTTATCCTGTGGACACTGGGGGGCCACAGGGAGGTTTTGAGCAGAGTCAGACTTGGATAGAGAGGAATTGGAAGGGTTGAGTGAAGCCTGGGAGCCAAGGGTGGTGACCGGAGTGGGGACTCAGGTGGGAGAGGCCAGACTGAGGCCGTGGATGGGAGAGAAAGAGGGTGGGTAGGAGAGACTTGGGGAAGCCAAATGGATAAGTTAGTTATGGGGCATCCAGGACAAGGCCCAGAACTCCGGTGGGGTCAGGGCTTTCTGGAGGAGGTAACACACAGGCTAAGACCTGAAGAATGGGTAGGACAGCTGTCCTTGAAATGGGGAGCTGTGGGGGGGAGCAGGTTTGGGAGAGATGCTAAGGGCAGTTGAAGACATGGGTATAAGGGGCTTAGGGATAGCCGGGTGGAGGTATCTAGGAGGTCATAGACTTCCAGAGCTGGAGTTTGGGGGAGAGGTGAGAGTCGGAGACAGCTTTGGAGTCAGAAAGGAGAACTGAAGCTGTAATGATGGGGCAGGTCTGCAGGGACCTGTCCATATAGGGCCCAAGAGGACATGGTAAGATGGTTGCACTTTGTCCCAAAGGCAATGGGGAGCCACAGGGGTTTTAAGTAAGGGTGGGACAGCTTAGATTTTAGAGTTCCAATTTAGAAATTGTCACCATTTGTGATGGAGTGTTTTTGTTATTTTTGCTTTTTACTTAACTTTTTCATACCAAGCATCTTCTCTTCCTCAAAAGGGCATTTAGAAATAAAGGGGTCCTTTGAAATAAAGGTTCTACTGCTAAAAAGAAAACAAAGTTTACAAAACCAGTGCTCTGTTCTGTTTCCTGTAGACTTGACCACAGGCAATTGATTGTTCAGTCCAAAGGGGTCTGTGCAATCAAGTGAAAATCAGCTCCTTTAAACACAAGAACATTTCTGTTTTGGGCCATATGGAAGGTCCAAGGGTTTGTAAATGTTTCCTGAGGTGTGGCCTGTCCAGTGCTTCCTGTGTGCTGCAGCAGTTAATTGGCCCCACACCCTCCTTTGCACTCCAGATGGCTTGAATGAACCTTGAATTGACCTTGAATTTTACTGTCAGGCTGAGATGCCATTACCTGCACCTATCCTATTGCTCTGGGCTCAGAACACAAGCCACTTATCATTGTGTATGAATCAAG